CATCACAGATTTTTCATCTAGTATAACTAAATGCCTCACTTTCATTGTACAGTATATGTTCACTTACAATTAGTATTATTTTTTTAATGAAAGGGGGTTTTGTCGGGACAAAGAGTTTGCTTCAGGCTCTTGGGAAGCCTCGGTCAGAACAGCAGCCTGGTGGATCTCAAGGGCAGCTCCAGCCTGAAGCTGGACTCCTTCTGGGCTTCTGGGCTTCTTAATTCCCACTGCACACGGCCTTCGTTGGTTCCTTCTCGGGGGCCAAGGAGAAAGCATGTCCAAGCAGCCTCTTGCTCCTGAGAGCAACACCTAGGGCACCTGCTCCCTCTAGACTACAGCACCCAAACAGGACAGTCAGATTCAGCTGCCCACAAGGTGCCCACATCTTCCCTTCCAGGAGAAGCTGTAAAAAGGAGATGCTCCCTCCAAGGTCAAAAGAGGGCTTGGCACAAGTCTCACCCCAATTCTCCCAGGGGCTGGGTGGGGGACACGGTCTGAGCTTTTTCCTTTCTTGGCTACCAGAGAGAGTGGTGGTGAGTTCCGTGGATCTCGTGCCAGGAGACGTCCTGGTGGTCTCTCCAGAGGGGATGCTGGTTCCCTGCGACGCCGCATTGCTCAACGGCGAGTGTGTGGTCAACGAAAGCCTCCTGACCGGTGAGCTGGTGGGATGGGGGAAACGTCTGCTCATTGTTTTGAAGCCCCCATCAGCTCTTGCCTGCCTGGACACCCCGCCCCCCCCAATGCTTGACATGTTCCTGCTTGCGGAGACGTCTATGGCACCCTGATGTGGCTGCTTTCAAGAGACGTGGCTGCTTTCAGGTTTTCCTTGGAGCTCTCCAACAAGCCGCCTGTTTTTTCCCAGGGGAAAGCACGCCAGTCCTGAAGACGCCTTTGCCTCAAGACCCGGAAGAGGCCAACGCCACCTACTCCCCCGAAGATCACAAACGACACACCCTCTTCTGTGGGACACAAGTCATCCAGGCTCGATCCTGCGGTGACGCTGACATCCTGGCAGTGGTGACCCGCACTGGTGAGGGCATTTCAGGGTGCTTCTTCTCTCCCCAGCCGGTCTTGAGACTGTCCGGTCTCCTGCAGCAACTGCTGGCACCCCTGGTCTCACAGCAGATTTGCCGTCTCCCTCCCTCCCTCTTCCTCCAGGCTTCTACACAGCCAAAGGGGATCTCATCAGCTCCATCCTTCACCCCAAGCCAGTGAAGCTCAGGTTTCATAACGATGCTTGGAAGTTTGTCAGCTTCCTTGCCATTCTCGGTAAGTTCACACGCAGTATCAAAAGCGGAAAAGACTGTGTTTGTTGTTGTTGTTGTTAGTTGCAAAATTGGTGTCTGACATATGGCGACCCCATGGACAATGTTCCTCCAGGCCTTCCTGTCCTCCACCATCCTCTGCAGTCCATTGAAGCTCACGCTGATTGCTTCAGTGACTCCAGCCACCTTCTCTGCCGTCCCCTTCTTCTTTTGCCCTCCATCGTTCCCAGGATGAGGCTCTTCTCCAGGGAGCCCTTCTTCCTTCTCATCAGGTGGCCAAAGTATTTGAGTTTCCTCTTCAGAATCTGGCCTTCTAAAGAGCAGCCAGGGTTGACTCCCTCTAGTACTGACCGGTTGGATGGCCTTGCAGTCCAAGGGACTCAATGCAGG